CTGCTTTCCTCCTGGTTTTATGAGCCTTTTCTTCTCTGAGCTGAACTAGCGTCTAGTTGAATGTTGATGTACATGGCATGGCGTCTGGGCAATGCATTGGATCTAGCCTTGCGGTGTCTATTCTTTTTATTTTTCTGGTCGGACTCAAATACCGACCATTGGAGGAGCCCTGCATCTGCGGATGGAGTCGTTGCAATATATCCTGTTATCTTCATGGTGTTCTTTACCTGTTGGAATTATCTGTAGTGCCGTAGGCACGACCTGCACGGTATCTGCCCTGCCACCTATCAAAATACCTATGCAGCCCAGGAATCTCTCTCTCTCTCTCTCTCTCAGCGGGCTTTTCTTTCTTTTTTTCTGGCTTCGTTTATAGACATCTCGTATATTTTTTGGTGGTTGATCGGCTAGCATGGGTGGCCCTAGAGGTAGAGTGCTTGGATCCACCAGCGAAATCCAACTTCACCTCTCTATCAATCCCAGGCGACTCATTCACCCACCCAAGGGTAATCATACACGCGAAAAATACATTAAAAAATTGATGCAATTCTTGTAATTATATCCCTTCAATTGTCTTATATCCACCTGGACAACCGCTAACCAAGATCAGACCACTCAACAAACCTGTAGCCATCTATACCCTGGATGGAATCTACATGAGAGAGCCTTGCAGCAGACCCAATGATACAAGCCAAACAAAAAATGGCACCCGAAATTACCCCAGACATCTTTCTCACTACCACAGGCTCTCCATCAGACCAAAACACGACAATCTTCTTTATCTCCGGCAATCCGGGTCTGATCAGCTACTACCACCCATTCCTCTCTCTACTCTCAAAGTATCTAGATGAGCCAAAAGAGGAAAATTCACCAAGCCTACCTTCATTTCAAATCTACGGCTGTTCCCTCGGCGGCTTTGAAATCAACGAACAGCAGCCCTCACCGTCACAAAACAATGGCATCGATCTCGACCTGGAAGATCAGATCTGCTTTGTGCAGGGAAAGCTCGCTGCCCTGATGGGAGACGAAGGCAAGGGTAAAGATACTGTGGATGCTGGAACTAGACGAAAAGTCATTCTCATCGGACACTCCGTTGGCGCATACATCGCCATGGAAATCCTAAGACGGCACCGCGAAGCAAAGCCAGAAAGCGCCTTCGATATAGTCGGTGGAGCGATGCTCTTCCCAACTGTCAAAGATATCGCCGCGTCGCCTTCAGGACAGAAATTGACGGTACATACCATATTCCTCTCGCCAGATGCTTGCGTTCTCCTTCGGTTTCGTGGCTAATCTCAGCTCGGCTGTGTAGACTCTACTTTCAATCATTCCCCGTCTGGCCCTGGTGGTTAGTCTCTTCGCCCGACTGCTTACATTCCTGTTCCCGGCATCGCTTCTTCGATCTGTCGTCCGGCTTGTCATGGATGACCCGCCCGTTCATGCTTTGGACGCTACGTGTGCCTTTTTGAAGAGTCGGGGTGGAGTACGGCAAGCTTTGTATGTGTGCTATTCTTTTGGCTGGTTGTTTGGGTTTATCTAATTAACTTCTTCGTCTGGCTAGACATATGGCTGCCGATGAAATGCGGACTATCACTTCGGACAGATGGACTGATGATGTCTGGGGTGCTGCATCGGCGCGCGAGCCTATCGCTAAGCTGTTTTTCTATTTTGGTCGTAATGATCACTGGGTGGCTGATCAGACGAGGGATGATATTGTTGCGGTGCGCGGGCAGAAGGGAGGACAGGCTGGGCCGACTATGGTTGTTTGTGAAGAGGGTTTGCCACATGCATTTTGTTTGAGTAAGTGGCTTTTTATCGACATTGACTACGATAGCTTTGCTGACATTTTGTAGAACACAGTGATGTGATGGCGCGAAAAGTTGCAGGGATGATTGGGCAGATTGTGGCCTAGAGAGGCTATGACTTTTACAATGCATAGAAATAGACAGGAACTACATAAAGACAATGAATTTCGCCATCGGCGCAGATTGTAACGGGTATCTCAAGAGACGCTATGCCACGCCCATTCCCATCCGAATGACAAAGAGCCCAAAGCTATTCAAATATGCCGGAAATAAATCAGAAAGCTAGACGCCATGTACAAATGATTGAGGGCCCGAAAGAACCATTCAGCACTCCTCTAGTGCCCTTGCACATTGCCTTGTTGAGCTAGCCCTGCCTTCCGGAATAGATCTCCTAGCACGTCGGATTGCGGCTGGGGCGGGGGAGTAGGAGACGGCATCTGATGAGGCATCATGTGTTGATAGTTAGGCTGCTGTGGGTATGGCTGAGGGTGCTGCTCGGGGCCCAGATGGTGTGCTCGCACACTCCAAGCGTCGTCCTGGGCGCGCTGCTGACCAAAAAGGTCCTTCAGCGAAATCTGACGTCCCATCGGCACGCTAGCCTGTATTTCCTTCATCGGGGCAGCCTGTGAGGAAGCCGCCACTGCCGCGACGTGCAAGCTGTTCTGGCGCATAGCCTCGAGGCGCTCGCGAGCTAGCTTCATGCTCTCCCCCGCGTGGGTGGCGCACTCGCGAATCATCTGGGCATTTATTGTGCGACTCTCCGCGGTGGAGTTTGGTGGCGGCTCTGAGTAGATCCAGAGACCGTAGATGCGCACGTTGTTCGTGCCAGTCTGGTTGTTGGGTACATTCTGGGGGTGCAAGGGGTCGGCGATGCCATTCTGTCCGGCTTCACCTTCGCTTTCTTCGGCTTTGAGGATCACATACTCCTCTGTAATTTCGACATTCTCGCCATCGGTGAGGGGGAGATCGAAATTGTTCAACCCGCGGCGGTTTAGCACAAAGGCAGTGTAGCGCTCTTGGCCTAGATCACCTTGTGTTTCCTGGCAGACAAACAGGGTTCCTTCAACTCCGTTCTTTTCCCATTGTTTTGTGGTTGGGCTGAAGATATAGACCACTGCGTAGGGGGCGAGTGAGAGGATGGAGGTCACTGAGGGTTTGTGGCGGCGGATAACAGAGAGATTGAGCTCCTCGTTCGAGCGGAGCGGGGGTGCAGGCTGTTGCTGCATGTCGGAGTGGTATGGGGCGTCAGATTCATAATCGGTGAGGTTGACAGGATTGTGATTGTTCTGTCTCCGAGGTTTGCGTGAAGTCATGTTTTCTGTGGGAACCCTTGGAAGTGTGAAAGATGGAAGGAGCTGGGCCATATCGTCATTGCAGCTCCGCCTTCGCGCTTATCCGGCTTCTCTCTACCTTCTACTCTTGATTCTCGAACCTCTTCTTTTTGAAACTTCATGTAGGATATTTGGGTACTGGCAGATATTTGATTCCTTCACAATTGGTTTCAACATATTCCCTATTACCGATATTCGACGTGATGACGATGCGACCCTTCTAAACCTTGGTGGGATGACCTCTGTGATGAAATGACCGAGCCATTGTCGCATTATACGATTGATTCTCTCAATTCTTTCTATTTATCCTATTATAATCGGTATCGCCTTGTTCTTCTACTGCGACAACCCTTAAAGCCTATTTTCCCTTGCCGGAATTAAGAACCGCGCAAGCGCACACTCTCATACATACACGACGTTACATACTGCTACCCTACCGAACCTGGAACCATAACCAAGCGAGGCGAAGAAGCTTTCCTACCTGCTGATTTTACCATACACTCATACAATATGAGCACTAAATCGAAATCGCCGCCAGCGTCAGAGCACAAGGGGCACGAGTCCGAATACGTGGAAGAGGTTAAGAACCCAAGACTCGACATTTCGTCACTTTCGCGTGCGGTCAGAGCAAGAAAAGCCGAGTACACACGCCGGCGATCTGTTCGAGTCAAGGTTGGCACCTGGAATGTAGCCGGCATCTCCGGCACCGAGAAAGACATCGGAAACTGGTTTGTTCAAGGAGACGGGGTGTGCCCGAAGTTCTCTGGGACAAGCTACGCGCACCCACAGGAGCCAGGTTCCCAATCGCCCAGCAAGCACGACCAGCAGAAATCGGACGGCGACAAAAAAAGAACTTTTCACCACAGCCCGGAAGAGATAGACCTGTACGTCTTGGGTTTGCAAGAAGTGGTCGATATCTCTTCCCCAACGGAAGCACTCCGGCCATACGTTGACTTGGCACCGTCCAAGCGGTGGAAGGAAGCAGTCCAAAAGGCACTACCCGGAGGATATCAGCTGGTCTCTGAAGTCCAGCTGGTCGGCTTGTTGCTTCTGATATATGCGTCGCCCGCCATTGGAGACAGTATTTCTTCTATTTGTAGTACATCTGTCGGTACGGGGCTGATGGGGTACATGGGAAACAAGGGCGCCGTGACAACGCGCCTTGTCCTGGGCGAAACGACCCGTTTGGTCTTTATCAACTGTCATCTCGCAGCAGGGTCCGACAAAGGCAGCTTGGAGCGACGCAACTGGGACTCTTCTCAGATTGTCCAGCGTACTAAATTTGACCCGGTTTGGTCCGACGGTGACGGATCGGGTGATTCTGGCGAATCAATAGGAGATGAAGATTTCACTTTCTGGTTTGGTGACCTCAACTACCGCCTCGATGATATCCCTAGTGACGATGTGCGCCAAGTCCTCGGTCGGCATACTGCTAATGAGTACGACAAAAAGCGCCAAGAAAAGCAGTCGTCAAGCCATTCCGGGGACTCCACGCCCGATTCTGATGATGAGTCGCCTTCTTCTTCTCCCCCCGAAGAAAAGGAGACGGATCCAGGCACGGACCCTGTCACTGACGAAGAGATTGATCCTCACAATGACCCTGCGTCTCTTCAGACTACAATTTCCTCACTTCTCCCGCACGATCAACTCCGAGCTCAACAGAGAAAAGGAGCAGCTTTCCACAAGGGTTGGCGGGAAGGTGACATCACTTTCTTGCCGACGTACAAATACGATGTTGGGAGTGTGGCTATGTTCGATTCGAGCGAGAAGCAGCGGGGTCCTAGCTGGTGTGATCGGATTCTGTTTCGCAGTCTACCGGACAAGCTGAGACATGAGAAGCTCGATCAGGAAGCGGAGGAGGCCCGAAAGAGGGACAATGAGATGAAGGCAAGCGGACTGGACAAGGCTGTTGCCGATGATAATGTCTTGTTTGAATATGACCCTGATGCAGACGGTGCAAACAGCGAGGAGTACATATCAGACGAGGATCAAGCCGCTGATGATGATGCTACCATAGTTGCATCACTGGACTCTGCCCATGATCCAATGCGCTTAGACCACTACGTGTCACACCAGGGCATTCTTTCGTCGGACCACAAGCCCCTAGATGCTGTCTTTACCTTGAGTTTTGATGCGGTCAATCGCGAACTCAAAGCAAAGGTTCATCAAGAAGTCGCCCGTGAATTGGACAAGGTCGAGAATGAATCTCGGCCTGATCTTACTATTGTAGTGGATAAGTATGGTGACCAAAAGCATACAGACAGAGATCCCGACACCGTTGATTTCGGCGATATTGCCTTCGACGTGCCGACTCATCGGTCCCTAACCGTTGCCAACACTAGCGGCACCGCAGCCACTTTTTCGTTCGCGGAGCGGCATGAAGGTGACGACGAGGGTATCACACAGATACCCTCGTGGCTTGTTCTGCACGTCTCCAAGTCTGCAGGCATCGCCCATGACACTGGCCAAGCGATGTCTTCTTCGTCTGGGAACCATACTCTGCTCCCTGGGGAAGTAGCAAATGTCGATGTCACGGCTTACGTTCGCAGCATCAGACATGTCCGGTTGCTTAATATTGGAAAGTTGAAACTAGAAGACATCCTAGTCCTTCATGTCGATGGCGGCCGCGACCACTTTATCCCTGTTCACGGCCGTTGGCTACCCACCTGCTTCGGTTGCAGTGTTGACGAGTTGACTCGCATGCCAGAAGCGGGTGCTCGAAGTTTGGCGGAATCAGACACCCCTCATCCATCCAGCACAGACAGTTCCACGGAAATCCGCTTGTCGGCACCCCGCGAGCTTTTCCGACTGACTGAGGCGATCTCCGAGCTGACGGAGCGCGCTGTCGCAGAGTGGAGCATGACAAATGGTGAATCCGAGGAGCATAAAGCCCCATGGGCAACGGATCTTTCCGGTGGAGCGTGGCCTTTCCAGCCCGATACATGGACTCTGAAGGACCAGCAGGAGCGTGCCGCGCTGCAAGCTTCCGTGCGTGAAGCCCTTGACACCAACAAGCCCCTCGCCTCAGTATTTGCCCCTGAGACATCATCTCTTCATCGCTTGGAGGTCCTATCTGAAACCCTCCTCACTTTCCTTAATGCACTCCAAGACGGCATCGTCACAGCAAAAGTATGGCAAGACATGGAGCAACAGATAACCGCGCGCGAGAAAAGCAAATCCCCTCCTCGAAACTGGGAAGAAACCCAGGCCTGGGTGCTTGAGCACCTAGCCTACTCACCAGCACACAGCGTATCATTCACCTTTGTCACTTTTATGCTCGCCCGCATCGCCAATGAAGTGGCTCCAGTATCATCCGATACACCATTGGTCCCATTATCCAAGCAAGGGAAGCCCATTGTTCCCAACGAGCCGGCAGATGAACAGGCTGGAACTGCAAGCCAGGATCGAGCTCAATCTCCTACCCCAGCTACCGCTACTGCCTTCATAACCAGCGGCAGTTTCCGCCGCAAGAACCGCTCCACGAGTACATCCGCTGGCACTACCCCCAACTCTACCGGTCAGAACCAGTCGATAGCACGTCGACAAGCAGTCGAGACCGCTTTAGCATCTGCCTTTTCACTCGTGCTTATTTCCGCCTCTGCTCCACTGCCGCCTAAAGAGAAAGACCGTCGTATATCCGAAGATCGCAGGCGATCAATCATTGAACCATTCTTAAAGATGGTTGCGGTGGATAATCGAGGTCCATCTGGGGGCCGGTGTTGATTTTCTCTGATACAGTCAAAAGATTTGTTGGGGTTGGCCCCCTTGTCTCGCGGCCCGGCGCGGGGTTATTCTGATATCTATCATGAAACCCGGCCATGCTTTGACTCCTATAGACTTGACTTTTGAAGTTGTTCGATTGCATCACGTTGTCTCGATGTGTATAATGCTGTATAAATGCCATATCTTCACGTTTTCCTTACCTATGAAAGTCAATGATACAGGGTGAACAGCCTCGTATTTGAACTAAAATCAATATTCCCATCCTACAGTTCATCATAGATCAGGCCCCGAAGATGCCAAGTCCATACGTAAGCGCCAATATACCCGTGGACGGATGCTTCCGCCATTAATCAACGCCCATTTTACCAACAGCTTACACCTCACTATAGATCTTCAGTCAATAAAATAAAATAAAAAGCCCATGTAGATCCTCATCCCATCCCATCCCCATCCTTCAGCCAGACCGCCGCTGAGATACCAGCCCACCACCCTGCCGATACCCACCCGACGGCCCAGCCCCCGCAGCTCCAGCTCCAGCGCCAGCGCCAGCCTTCCCCTTCAACCCAGACTTAGACTTCGACCTCTGCTGCGGCCCAACCTTCCGCCCCATCAGCATACGCCTCGCAGCATCCCAAGTCACCGAGACCGCATGCCCAGGCAAACTACCAACCGAGAGCACAATCTGAGCAGGGACAACTATGCACGCGCAAGCCCAGTCCAGCAGGACGAGCGCATAATTCGGGCAACGGGACTCAGCCGACCGCTTCGCAGCCGCAGCCAGCGCGATCGCGTCGCCGGACTGGGTCTCAAGGCGCACAAAGCGCTGATCAGTCTGTAGAGAGAAGAGGGCGGAGCGTTTCTCGTAGCGCCGGACGGCGCGGTTCAGGGCTTCGATATCAGGCTGGATAGCTTTGCGAGTTTCGAGAACTGCGCCGGCGACCAGGGATTGGGATGTCTGTTGTTCTTGTTCTTTTGGGGAGAGGGGGGGGTCTTTATCTGTTTGTTTGGTGGCGAGACGGGCGGTTGCTGTCTCTGCGACGTGGGTTTCGAGCTCTTCGAGGCGCTTTGTTAGGTCTTGCAGGGTTGTTGGGGTGATTATTGGGTCTGTTGAGGATGATACAATGCGCTGGAGGTGTAGGGTGCGTTTTTGGATTAGTCTTAGGAGGTGGGCGACTGGGCGGACTTCGGAGGCTAGGAGGAAAATTGTTAGGTTGTAGTTTGATACTAGGCCCTCTGAGGGTCGGGAGAGGCTGGAGCGGATGCCGTGGAGGAGACAGGTGCCGATGACTGGGAATATGAAGCAGGCGGCTAGAGCGGCGAGTTCGTGAATTTGGAGCTCGGAGATGGCTGTTGCTGCTTCTTTGTGTTGGGGTTCTTGGTCCTCGAATTGGGGATTGTCGGGCGCTGGTAATCCACTTTCTTCTCGTCCGATGGCCTGGGCCGAGCGGTACCAGTCCCTTTATGTAGTTAGTATTAGTACTTTGTTGGGAGATCACTGGGAGATTATCGGGGATATATATAGGGGGACATACCAAGGCAACCGGACAGACCAGTTAAGAAATATAGCGGCCAAGACTAGTAATGTGACGTCGGTGACGAAGGAACTACCTTCATGGAAGAAAATGCCGGCAATTGCAGGCAACAGGGCCAGCCCGAGCGGTGCAGAATGCCAATGCGATTCTTCAGTTGAAAGTGTGGCGTGGTCTTTTGCTACGCGAGGTAGAAACAAGTCGTCAGTCGATGAGCGGATCGAGTTGCGGGCCTCTAAGATCGAGTCCGAGAGGGTGGAGTTCCGTCGCTGACTCTCCTCGAAGGTATGGGCGCGACGTGCTTTCAATGAACGCTGGGGCGAATCATCCATGTTTCTGAAGGTTGAAAAAGGAATATGTGTTGTCTCACTACTCCGTACTCCGTACAGAGTATGGGGTAACATTGCCGAGGATCAGACCTAACCAGTTCCATGGTTCGCAGATCTCAGATCTGCCTAGGTTAAACTGGGAATTGTCCACGCACTGTAGGGAGTGTATGTATAAAACACTTTTCCTTTTCACTATATTCCATATTTCGTTCTTTTCCTGAGAACAACATATCGTATTCTCTCTTTTCCTCCTCGGTAGTGTCGATAATACTAAGCAGCATAGCCACTGGAATTTGAATTGGTCAATCTCCGCTCATTCAGTCTGCTAGCTCCCATAGGTCAAACATTCTGTCAAGACACGAGCACTATTTGTTTCCTCAAGTCTGTATCTCAGCTTGTTCTTTTGAAAAGTGCTTCGCAAATTTTTCATTCCCCATTGCGACATCTATTCGGTTATTCCCTTCCTTGTCTCGAGCCGAGGGGACTCCGACAGGCGGCCAGGAATAGCGTACGTCTCTGACGGTCCCCTCGGGCGAAATCTAGCGCATCAACTAGAAAGTCGAGCACACGTTGAACTGGCTTGCCTAGCTCGAGTAGTGGATGAAGAGTGCTGCATACACCGTGCGCGGATACTGTGGCTGGTACGCGAGAGCCATGTCATATTTCGCAGTTGGACTCATGATCAGAATCACCCAACTCAGGTTCGGATCTTCCCTGCTGTCGTAATTCTTCCAATTTGCGAGCTTTTCGAAGGATCTCAAGGTGGTCCACAGTCGCTATAATGAGATTGGTCTTTTCATAGCTAAAGTCTTTATCCTCGGTTTCACCTGGATATAAAGGTCGCCCATGATGGATTTGGATAGGCTGGCAAAACAGCGCATAAGGGTCTGCGGCGTGCCGGAGCAAATTTGTTATGGTTTTCGCCGCCCGCTCGCGATTCTTCACAACTTTAGCATTGCCATCTTGGGCAGCCCGACGAAGAGCGGGTGCCTCGGTTTGATCAAAGAAAAGTATTGGAGGACGTGTTGCTTTTCTCAATATTAGCCCGGTCATCTGCCACTCCAGAAAGGGCAGAGGCCAATTCCTTCATTCCTACATTTGGGTCGACGCCTGAGGCTAACAGTGACTCGTAGCAGCATCACATACTAGCTCGAGAGCGGTAATGTTATCCACCTGAGGCATGTTGGAATACAATTCGTTTTTTTTAGTAACCAGTCATATGTGAAGAGCCCTAAAGTCAGGTTAGGGAAGGGGGCCACCGCATATAGCGTGTGATCTGCTTGAATGTTCTACTATAGAAGGCAATAATGGTCGATGTTCTGTTTGTATATCTGTTTACCTTTTAAAATTACAATTGAACAGTTAAATAGGTACATATGTAGGTACGCGGGAAATAATATTTTCAGAACATTGTCATTCTTATTGTTTGCCGAGGGATATCAATATCCTCTCTGAATACACCAACTGCATCAACTCTCTTCCACCTCTGAAATCTGGTCAATCTGATCAATCTGATCGGTCTGAATAAGCTAGATCTAGATCAATAATCAATCGTTTACCTCCAAGATCGACAAAAATATCAGGATCAAAATGAATAAGGTCCCCGCCTCCCCGGGTCTTATTGACACCAAATGCGGACTGGTTTGCCTCACACGATTCGCTCAACCGTAACACCACACACTGTGTGCTTCACGTTTCTTTATTCAGCTTCTTTCTTCTTCTTTATTTTCTTTATTGCAAGTTGTTTAGTGCAATTCAATGCTAATTCAATGGATAGGTTTCTCTATCTGTCGCGAAACATGTCGAGGCCTGGTGCCCGCGGCCGCGGATTTTGTCTCTGCAGCCTATACATTCTTCGTGAATGGCACCCAACTTCACTTAAGGCATGATGTCTTGGGCTGTGAATCAACCTCCTGATTCTCACTATTCAGGTTTCAATAAGACATCGTCGCTCAATCGCCTCCCCTGGGTATACATCGTTCATCGAGGGAGGATGGTTTTATCCCATCCTTCTTTCTCTCGTCCTATCTCTTCGTTTCCTTGATCAATTTACAGAAGAATTGGAGACTCAGGTTATCGACATATTCGTTGTAATCTCTGCTTTAAATCCGCTGCCGTCATGGATATCCACCAAAGACACCCGCAGGCCGTGGCTCTGCCAATTCTATCTTCTTTCTCCATTGCTCTCGCCATTCCACCATTAATTCTGCATGGAAAGAACCGCAATTTCCCTGCTACCAGTCTGATATTCTGGTCAATCCTCCTTAACTTGTTCAACATCATCAACTCCCTCATATGGCCCACGGACGACGTGGCGTCGTGGTGGGACGGGGCTGGTCTATGTGATATCGAGGTCAAGTTTATGGCTGCCGGCTATGTGGGCATTCCAGGAAGTCTGGCATGCATCTTTCGATGTCTTGCTATTGTACTGGATACAGATCGGGCCACATTAGTCCCGAGCAAAGGTCAACGCTGGCGCAATCAGTTCATGGAGATTCTATTCTGCGTGGCTGTTCCAGTCATCTCAATGATCACACAAATCGTCTGGCAGAAGAGCCGATACTTGATATTTGCCATCTCGGGATGTGTGAACAACTTCGACGAGAGCTGGGTCAGTCTCGTCTTTGCATGGATCTGGCCCCCGATTATCTGCCTCATTGCAGCATACTATTGCTGTTAGTATACCCCTACCCTACTTTATGCAAGTTACTCCAATTAACCAAACATCCCAGGCCTGGTCCTCATCCGTGTACACAAGTACAGAAACGACTTCGCGAACATCCTCCGCGCCTCCAGCAGCAACCTCAGCAAATCTCGCTTCCTCCGCCTCTTCTTCCTGGCCCTATCAATGCTCATCTGTATTCTCCCACTACAAGGCTACGTCGTCTACGCCGACATAGTGCTCTCCCTTCCCTGGCACGCATACTCCTGGAGCAGAATCCACAACGGAAACTGGAACATCGTCGCCAAAGTCCCCATCGACGGCACCGTCTTCTTTGACCGCTGGACCCCCGTCGCATCAGGCTTCATGATCTTCATTTTCTTCGGTTTTGGCCGCGACGCAACCCGCATGTACCGCACACTCTTCTGGTACCTCGGACTGGGGTATTGCTTCCCGGGCATCCAGCCCCCGACAGATACACACAGCACCGGTCCTTCCCTGGCGCACGCCTCAACAGCAACCACCCTCGTTGGCAGTATCAGCTCCCGTGCCAGATCGCTGTTCTCGCGCCAGAAGGAATCGATCGCTACTTTTGTCTCGGCGCATGGTACATACAACGATCTTGAAAAGGGTACCTCTTCGCGCTTGGCCTGTCACAGCGACGGCAGGTCGACCAAGAAGTCTCGATGGGGTAACTTGCCCTGGTCGCTCTTTGACAGACGTCAGACTCGTCGGGATATTGATGGGACTCTGTTGGACGACCTCCCCGGTGGTACCTCGCAGACTGTGTGCACCAATGCTTGGGCTAGTCACCGTGATAGTCGGGACTTGTCCAGTGGACCGACTTCGCCGGAGCATAACAAGGATTTTATCCATGTGCGGCAGGTTATTAGCCAGCAGAGCGAGGTTACGGTTCAGGTCTAGAGGGCTTGTTCTTTCTTCGGGATTGTATCGAGGATTGCAGTGGCTTGTTACGGTTTCTCTAATCTTGCCTTTGCGTTGGTCTGGGGTCATGGGATTCTGCTGTACATCAGAGTAGTACTACTTATCATAACACATAATAGGGTGGCTCTCTTGCAAAATGGAAAATGGAAAATGAATTTGTTTGAATCTGCTTCTGTATACTCCGGGCTGCATGTCCCATACACCAGCTTCTGCCACGCACTCATCTCATCCACCCACACCCGGACATATATAAAGATCCCACACCCGCAACACAAATTACATAAAGTCATGGCACCCAAAATTTTCAGATTATTCAAAAGGAAGCGCAAAGAGAATGATCCGGACTTTCGCCCTAAAGGGGTTGCTCCAAATGCAATCGGAATCTCCGATTCCACCTGCGAAGTCAACGGCGACCCCTTCAATGGATGGAAACTACCCATCCCACCGCCGGAACAACGCGTTCTCAAACTCACCCGACAACGCAGCCGTCAACAAGCTAGTCACTTCTTCCAGCTCCCAATAGAAGTCAGGACACTGATCTATATCGAGCTAATGGGTGATCGGCGCATACATATCGAGCATGCATGGATGCTACCGTCGCCATTTCGTCCGAAGCTAAAGCGGGACGGGAGGCGCTGGGACTGGTGGCATGGTGTTTGCCAGAGAACTGGATCTTTCGTCGATGACCGGTGTTGGGACCGTGCAGATGAGAGGTATGCGAACAGGTTCGAGGGGTTGAAGAGCCCGCCGGCCGGGACGAAACTCCGGGGCGTAGAGTGGTTGAGGTGCTGTCAGATCGGGTGAGTCTTGAGTGGCCTTGGTTGTAGTTCGGACTTATATTATTTTCCAGCTACGAAGAGGCATTGACAATCCTATACGGGACGAATGTCTTTGTTCTACGGAGCGGGTTAGACGCTCCGTTTATCATGTCTAGGCTTTTATCGCCCGCTTGCTCCTCTCTCATCACGTCTATGGATATCTCTTTTGATTTCTGGTACAAATTAGACGAAACACAGGCCACGGCTTGGGAAACGGTCTACCCGGCCTTATTTGATCTGTTTGAGCATTGCTTCTGCAATGTTCGCAGGTTGTGCTTGACGATGCATATGCCGGCCTGGGAGAAGGTGAGAGGGACTATAAACGACGGCACGATAGAGGAAATTCTTGCGCCGTTGGAGAGACTTGCACAGAGTCGAGACTGGACTCGTTTAAAGCTTTGTGTTCCGTCTGATTGGTTCCCTTGCTTGACAGGCAGGGCGGAGAAGCGGAGCAGGTGGGAGTTGATGATGGCTGACTGGTACGAGCGCATGCCTGTTATCGAGGATTTATAAAATGATACCGTCCGAAATCACGGAAAGGCGGCCGCTTCTGCCGTCGAAGGCAGTCATTTTCGGCGCCAATTTCACAAGTCCTCGGATTCTATATGAAAACTTCCGTATAAAATGAAATAATAGTTCGTAGGTCGAATTCAGAAGAGCCAATGTATACTGAAACGAAGAATAGAGCTTTAGCATACGTGGTATGTACTACACACGCTACTAAGATCGCATCCATCCACTACAAAACGAAGTGTATTCAGGGTATAATCGTACAATATTATCACACCGCAAAGGATGATTCACTCAACCCAGCAGCCCCAAAATGAAACTAGCAACAAATTCAGATTGATACAGAGCCCCAATCAAACAATTTAGTGAGACTCGTCAGACTGGCCGCCGTTATCGGGCCGCTTAAGGACCTCGAGAGTGCCTAGAAGAGTGTTAGATATAGCCTTACTTTCTTTTCTTGTTTCCCGAGTGGGAGCAAATTGAGAAAACGGGTTTCGACATACGCTGCACAATGTTCAGAGAGGACCGGTTCTGGCCTTCGGAATCTTCCCAAGTGGCCATTTTGGCATCACCTTCGACATACAGGAGGGTTCTGCAGAGAGAAAGTTAGCTTATCTGCATCAAGCTAAAGCTCAAGTTGCTGCATTGGCGCAAGTGGACAGAGGCAATTGAGTAGGGCAACTCTATAACCCCAGCCCTACTGCTCAACCACGAGCATGACACGAAGGAATGATGTCTCATCCGGGGGCGCGTCGCTTCACCATAAATGTCATATGTCCAAACAGGCCCGCACGATGTCCATGCAGCCTCCAAGCGCGAGCGCAAGCTGTCGCTCTCAATCCGCATAGACCGCGCAGACCTGCCGGAACCAAATGGAAGGATATAGCAACCACACAACCCCAGATAAGACGCAATCCAAACACGCAGTACTGTATCCTGCACAAGCCAGCAAAATATCAAGAGCAGCGACTTACCCCTTCTGCAAGCCAAGGATGAAATCGCGCTGGGAGCCCTCAGGGACGAAGTTCGTGATGCGCCACCAGCTCGTCTGGCGGTTATCACGGGGGCCATGGGATGTGGCGATGTTGTACTTGACGATCTCCTGGCCGGAAGAGGTGGCATGGAGCTCGGGCTCTGCGCCGAGGCGGCCGGTGAGGGTCAGGCGGGCGATGGAGTGGGCGGGCGAGGAGCTGAAGGCGCGGGCAGCCTGGGAGGCGTTGGCCATTCGCAAGGCTGGGCGCAGAGAAGAGAGGAAGGCGGACATGGTTGGATGGAGAATGTGTGAATTATTGGACTATAAAGTACAGTAAGGATGGATTCATTAGGATTTGTTTTGGCGTGTTGATGAGTGTTGATATTGACACGTGATGTGGACAAAGGGTTACCGTTTTCGGATGTGATGACATAACTAGTACTAATAGCTAACTACATCCATGTAACTATTGAGGCTGGCTAGTACTATAATTATTTTTCTATTATGTGCTGAATCAGGGTTCTCCTTGAAAATGGAATTTGGTACGGAGTAGTCCGTAGTTATTTTGGCAAAGCCCATAAGCCTATGCTACACAGCTATAGCTATAGCTAACTATAGCTCTGGCATGAGCAGACACTTCACACTTCTTGACTTTGGTGCGATTAGAGATTGTATTAGGCTTTGCATAGGGATAGACAACCGCGTCAGCGATTTGCATTAACCATCAAGAGAGCTTTGGAAGGAGATTACGGCACATTTTCCTGGCCGCAATTCATTATCATTGCAGGTGCACTATTCTACCAAATTAAGGCACCAGAAAGCCGACAGAACCTGTCTGGGGAGTGGGAAATGTGCAAGAAAATAAGAACCAATGCTTCGTTGAGTTTTATAATCGAAAAAGGATCCATCATCTTTGCATTCATCTTCTATACTGTGAGGTAATAAGTGCTTCATGACTGGGGATGTCTACTCATCAACTGTGCGTAGATATTTATATTTTTGAAATAGCCACCAAGATCTGTAGGACCGGGTCCATCAGATATGCAGGTGGTCAGTGAACGGCTTCATGTACGAGAAGGTGATGCTCTCTGTGAGATTGGACCTGAATAGCCTTCTGGTCCACCCCATTCTCTCTTCCAGTGTATTACGATGCAGGACGGTCGTTACGTTATCGAAATTCTCAGTACGTCCCTACCTATGTTGTAGGTATCAATTGCCCTAAATCACTGATCCGCTGATATTCTTTCCCGTTCCGAGACAAAGTCTTTTAGGGATTGATATTTAAGAGCACCCGGTCCAAGTCAAATTGTATATGTCCGCTTTAGACTCGGTCGTTTACATGGTTGTGAGTTACTCTATAGATGTGGAAAAACGACAGCCATATACGGTAGGGTATGCTGTGGAAATTGCCAACCCACGCTAAAAAGAAACCATAGTAGGGTCCTAAAAAGCGCTACGGAGTACCCGAAAGTGACTTCTTTTAAGCTGCAAGCCATAGTCCAATTTTTTAACTCCTTTATGCTCCATCGTCGGGCCCCAACACGACCGCGTCGCGTCAATATGCTGTGCACATTTAATCATGAAGTATTTGGGACAACGATCCTCTCTGTTGACTCGAGTCTGCCTCTATCTACTCCGTACCTGGGCTACATATATAGCCTACATGGACTAGCGTTGTAGCAATATAATGTTGAAGTCCAAGGCCCAAGAAACCATACATTCTCCCGGCTTCGTCTCTGTGTATTTTTCTTGGGATTCCCTAGCTATCTATGTCCGATACGACGGGCACCTGCTAGTAGTACGTGAACGAAGCAATTGAATGCAGAATACAATTCAACGCCAGTCTGTGGTAGCAAACACTTATAGAATCAAAAGAGGCATACCTAGAAGGGTCGGTTTCACTGAGTCTTGCTAGTACCATTTTCGCCTATGATGGCTACTAATAGTATAGTAATAATATACTGGAGGTCACATGAGAATAAAAACAAAAGAACAAAAAGGAAGCCCCCCTTCACAGCAGTCGAGCATATTTCCAAATCAACATTGATAGCTCGGTCCGGTATCCCAATTCCAAAGAACCAAAAATGTCATTCGACATAGACAATGACTTGCTGACAAGTTCCGTAGTAGGGTGCTCACTTACCGTCCCACGAGGCCCAAATATCAAGAACTTTCCATCAGACACTGACGACCACGGCGGGATACCATGTGCGAAGAGCAACCACTGCCTCTGTAAGCTGTCTTGGATGTTCTGCTCCCAGTCCTTGTTCTCTACGCCAGCAAAGGTACTCTCACTTCCAAACAGATAGGGAAGGTCAAGAGCGTGGTTAGACTTTCCGGAGAAGACACCTTCGAAAGGATTTGGCTCATCGAAAATATATCGATAGACGGATAGTCCCTTTTGAGCAAAGCGTGTAGTCGCTTCATTTATTGGTGTAACGAACGCAATGTCCTCCAGAATCTTCATCAAGCATTGCTTCAAGCGAGCTGGCTGTATGTCATACTGACATCCGTATGCCTCACAGAGCTTTGTCGCCTCCATTCGTTCGATCTGTGCCGAGAACGACGAGCAAATGCTTTCAAACGATTGATGGTTGTCTCTGGCTTCGGAGTGAAGATGCGCAAGGATCTCGAACAAGGAGCGCTCGTAGCTTGTATGGCCAATTATGACGCGAAAGTCATCATTAGCAAAACTATAGTGCTCTGCCCATGATTGTGTAAACATCTCCCCATCAATGGTAGGGACCGCAGAGAAACCCGTTTGCGAGCTTGCCTCTATAAAGGCTTGTAGGAGAACGTCAACAGGGACATCTCGTAATTCCTCAACAGTATTGACGCGGGCATGGGCTTTGACCAGGTCAAAGAGTATGCTTTGATCAGAAAGGGACAGCGGGGAGGAAATATGGGAGTTCATTGCCCCGGACTGCAAAATGGCCTGCGAAAACCTGCAGGGGAGCTGGGAATGGACCTGATTGTCAACCGCGAATGAACCTGCGGATTCTCCAAACACAGTGATATTGTTTGGGTCACCGCCAAAGCCACTGATATTCCTGTACACCCACTCAATACCGAGACGCTTGCGTGTTTGGTCAGCACTGATAATCCAAAATCGGTTGTTACTTACAACATCATGACAGCCTGAGTCGCCTTATTAGCATCGCTCACTCGCCTATAATAGCTGGAGAAGCACACACACCGTAGTTCCCGACACCGACATCACCAAACGCAGCATTATCTTCTCGGAGCGATTGTGAAGAGAGCCATCCCAACGCAGAGAGACGGTAACTAAGGAGAAACTGGTCAAAATACTTATACCGAGTGAAATGAGGTTGAGCGGAGGGGAAACTGTATTGAAACCAACTGGGAAGCATACTTCAAGGCGACAATCACCACAGGCAGATTCGATTCCACGCTCTTCTCAACAAGATGTCTTCCATCATTAAACCAAAATGAATTGGCTCCTACGAGGTTACCTCCTCTGCCAGAAGACGTCAGTCTATTTGAGGGCAGGGAACAAAGAAGAAAGCAAGACGGGTTTTATCGAACACAAAACTCACCCATGGATATAAATCATCACCGGAAAGAGTTGCTCAGCCACACTTTCGGTGTTCTTCGAAACTGGGGCAGTGATAACCAAGTTCAAGCATTCAAACTCATCCAGTACTGGACTTTCTACTTGCCCGGTCACCGCGCGCGACTCGGGCGAGCTACCATTGAGAAGATCTTCAAATTTTCTCTGGCCAACACTTTGAGGGCATATCGGGCTTTCATGCACTTGTTAGCATCCTAACCACACACAGTGTCTAGCCTGCAGGATTTGGGCATACCCATGATCAGTTGCGTCAACAACCGGTGGGAAATTTTCATGGAGAATGGCCCGTCGGAAACGAGTAGGAATCCGAGCAAACTTGATTCCACGAAATTGGGCGACTGAGCTGGATCTCTGGTCTGAAGACCCAGAGGTCTTGACACCTCTGAATACAGCACCTAGACCTGGATGAAGTATGGATACGATTTCACGGTCATCCATCGCTGATGAAGTCATCAATCTCGGTTCGCCGAAGGTGGTGAAAGAACTGTAGATGAATTGGATATTTGCCAATTATACATGCAAGCTGCCCGTTTTATAGTAGGAAACATGGCCGGTAATGCACAAATAAGGAAAGGGGCGATCACTAATCAGATAAAGGTTGGAACGCGCCAGAGCAGAATTATTGGTCAGTTCTGCATGAATGTCTCATGAAACCGAAACTGAAGGATGGGAAAGACCCCGAGCTCGCCGTGTTGATTAATCAAAATAATAACTAATATGATCCAATACAACATGTGAATGTCTTGGACGGGTCGTCATCTTTGGACGGGCAATTTGGATGACAACCTTAACAGTATGCCTAGGTAGGTATCCTATCGGCGAGTCCAGTATCTGGTGTTTAAGGGAATAGATAAAATCGACTTCTTGTCAAAATGGCTCTTGAGCCTTTGAAAGCGGGTTGTGAAGAATTTATCAATCGCACGAATTCTTTGGAAGGCAATAGATGCGAATTCATTCCTCACAAATAGTGCAATGACCATTGGAACGGTTCATACCCAATGCCAATCATAGGAAATAAATTTTCGCCAAGTCGATCGTACCCAGGAAAACAGGCACAGCAGACCCTTAGGCCTTCTGCAGAATTCGGTATACCTCCGCTTCGCGAGAGACTTCTTTCCACAGCCCCGACGTGGTTCCTTTTCCGATGACAGTGTAGCCATATATGACACAAGTTTGAACGGCGCAAAGTACGCTCCGCAATCCCCAAGGGGTGTGCATCGGTCAATGTTTTCGTCCAATTGTGCTTTTAGTAAACGCACCAAGTCTTCTGAGGTAATCGGATGCTACAGATCGTCTTTGCTTCGACGATGGAGCATCACATTTGGACAACAGTCGTCTAGAACACCGCCAGACTGCAATCCGACTAAACATCGCTGGGTGCAAAATTGCGTATCGCGATATTGGGCCTGGTTGCCTTGGCCAGACGGGGTTGCTGGACCAGGGAGGAGATCCCGATGGGCTACGGCTAGCTCCGACCACGTACCCGCCTCCACGATGTCTAACTGCTCGTGGTCCTCCCGTATCGCCATGAACCAAGGGAGGATAGTGCGCCGACGCTTTGTCGCAGGACCGGTGGACCCGTGTGGCATCGTCGGTACGGTGATCCGAACATCCCCGGCCTGGCACACCTGCGTGGTCCAGTCGATGCCGTACTTGGCCGCCGAGGCTGCATCCCACATTTCATTCGTGATATTATGAACCCCGGGAGCTCGTCAGGAATGACGGCCTCTGTTCTTGACAGTGTTACCTGTCAACAGGATCGCTGGAGTACACGGCTTCACAGGCAATATTGGTGCTGTAAAAGTAGTGTGTAGATTATTTATTTAGACTATCTGGTAGTAAATGGTGCACCTTTTATAGGTTACCTGTGACCGCCTTCCTGCCAGAATTGGCAGGCTCATGGCCACATGTAACACAAGAAGCTCATATTCATCGACTTTACGGCTTGCGCCGTGCTGCCATACGTTCAAGTTGTAGACTCTGTATCAGCGCCTGCAGACGGCCATAGCTATCTATGATGCAATATCATCATCGATGCTGACTACGACTGAGAATGTACTGCTGTCGCTCTGATCCCCACGTTGGCAACACTATCGACAACGGTGCGGGTTGCTTTTCTCCTCCTTGCCAAACGTCTGGATCGAGAGTGCGAATTTTAGCGCAATGTGGCAGTCGGAGTCCATTGTCCTCTGGAATCCCTTCCTCTTCCAGTCTCTCGATAGCGCGAAGCTGCTCAGGATTCGCTGCTTGACGAAGCAGAGTCCAAAATTCTGCGTCGGACACTTGCCACAACACCTTATCATCCATAGACCCTGCCTCTACCAGTTCGCCTATCACCCGGCCCGTCCGCTGACACATGTCGATGTGGGCCGGACTTGACCAGATATCTTCGTCGGTAGTAATGTATGCGCGAGAAAGGATCAGCGCTACATGGGGATCGTCCAGAACTAGCAGACGGCGGGTCGCCGTAGCACTAGGAAACGCCTTCAGTGAGCCGATAACGCTTTTAGCGTCTTCTATGGCAAGCTTGCCGAAGCTGACGGCGTCGCGTAAAGCATAGTCTAGGCGATCGGCACATAGTTGAGGCGATGGCATCTCCACTAAAGGGAACAGTCCTTCTTCGAAAACCTTCTGGTTGATCCCATGTCTGGCGAGGATGTCCGGCAGCCGCGTCGTCTCAAGATACCGTATCTTATGTACCTCGTGATAGCTTCCTTCCCCAGGCTTGGAGAGGGCGTGATCGATGACGTGACTGAGGGTGGTATGAGAGATGTCATGGAGAAGAGCAGCGACTTGTTCTTCAATCGTGGCACCAACTCTTCGCACGAGTATAAATGCACCGACCGAATGTTCGAGCCGTGTGACTCGCGGTGTCAGGCCCAAGAATCTAGTGACTCTATACTGGCAGATGCCTTGCAGTCGCTGCACCTCCAGGCTTTGAAGAAGCTCTACGAGAACTGGCTCATGGACCAGTTCCTCTCCGTATATTTCATCTCGGATCAAGATGCTATGATTCTCGATGAGTTGGTGTGTCTGGAGGACGCCGGCACTGGTAGGAGATGACATCTCTGTTGGACCAACATGTATTGACAGAAGCAACCGAAGCAGGATGATTGGGAAAAGTATGTGCGCGATCGAGGAAGGAGCGTGAGACAGGTTGAGGAATCGCAAGCGCCATTCAGTCATACAGCAAACGGGGGCAGTGGTCGCACTTTGGGCCGCCTCCCCGGCTGCCGCATCCTATTGCGTTTATGACACCTTTCCTGCAGAATAGGCAGCCACAATACAAAGTATCTTTGTAAAAAATAGTCTGGATGAGTTAGTAAGGTTGCAGTGCGTTGCATGTGACTTCCCCTCTTACTATGTGATCATGAGGTCAGGTTATAACACCTTTGCTATCAGGCTAATGAGATATATTGATAGGCTGTAACTCCTAGCTACTTGCCTCTATAAGCATTTTACTTCTTAACTTTAGATCGTCTACTAGCCTATAAGGTAACACAGTGAAAGGCAGCGTGAACGAACGGCGCCGCATGACGCATGAAAGGCAGGCGCATGGATGAGCTCGCGAGCGAGAGTTAAGATTGCCAGGGGTCGCTTGCGGCGTATAATCGCGAGCGAGGTCGAGTATCGATCTTTAGAGGTTTCGGGTTTGCTTCCAGCGAAGCAATGTCGCTAAGCCCTGGTTTCCTCCAGGTTTAGGCGAGCTCAGGCCCGTCGATTAGTCATCACGCACACGTGATAATACGAGTCACCTGGTGATATTTGCTCCATAAAAGAAAGGGGCGGCCCTGCTAGGATCACCTGGCAGACATTATCCTACAACACACTCCGCACGGAGTACAACATACTCCGTATATAGGTACATATCTACTCCGTACGGGCGCAGACAGCTAGTTATGGGCCCCAGGATTATAAATCCAACGTCTCGAGTCCCGAATCAAAAGAAAAAGCAAGGACCGAAAAAGCAAAGAAATGCAAATTAAACGACGAGCCTAACCCTATTATTTTGAAATCATACGCCATGCGAATGCCAACACGAACACGTCAGGGTGTTCTTTTTTCAGCCTAATCATGTCACAATCCATCACATCCGACTCTCCGGCGAAGAATGTACTCCGTACTCCGTACAAGTGTGCAAGTGTACAATTGTGCCAGGTACACCAAACTGGAAATGGCAGCCGAGAGGCAGATCGGCCAGTGGAGTTCAGATCCTAGTGGAGATACTGTAATACCGCTGATTGATCGAACCAGACCGAAGATAAATTAAGATAGCTGTTGTTTCAGATGCACTCCTTACATTGTCAATTAGCGGCCCAACCACGTCGCTGCAGAGGCGTTTGCGAGTCAACAATGGGCTATGGCTAAGACGGCCTGGACCTGCAGGTAGCTGCATGACAATGGTGAGATTGGTCAGGTCAAAGGACAAAGTTAAATCAAATCTTCGCCAAATTGGCAAAATCGATAGATCGCCTATGATAGTCAAAGCGCGGCGCCACCCGTGAGAACTGAGTCTGCTATTTCTTTTCACCGCAATCTGTGGACATGAATATCAAGGACGGTGTAGCTACCAAGAATATATTTATATGTATATTTGAAAAGCGAGGGATGAATTGACAGCTCACTTGCATATGCAATGCGTTGTTCAACGGCTTGAAGAAGGGAAAAAAGAAAAAGAAAACCAATCCAGAGAGCCATGGTTAAAGAAAAAAGATAATTCAGCCACAATATATGGGATCTTCTCTCTCTTTGGTCTGTGCCAGCTAGTCCCAGTCGATCCAAGTTCATCCAAGTTGATCGGCAATTTCCTCGATCGGTGGAGACAAAGTAGATAGTTCAGGTACGCGTTTTTAGCATATTTTATTGTCCTCTTAGATTCCTTGTTGAGTCCATTCGTAATAAAACTTAAATGTGGAATGGGCCTTTTCCCACTTATCTCTCCTGTTTTCGTTTATATGTAGGCTTAGGGTCTTCGCTGTCGTCTTTTCCCCTTATAATGCGTCCCTGACGCCACGCCAATTAATTCCTTTTTTTATTGTTAATTATTAATATTCGTGCATTCCCTCCGAGGTCCATATTGATTTTGCGCGACCCGTGTCACTAACAGGGATATGTGAAAGACGTGGCTGGTCTTACCATAACCAGGACGTTTCTCTACGGAGAATCAATTGCATTTCGATTGAGTCAAGATGCGGTGGCCTTTGATATTCACCTTAGTAGTGTCCCTGTTCCTACTGGGGACATTGGCAGCGCCGACTTCAGTGCCGGGACGACGTGATATTGAAGTCGTCAACCTTGAGGCTCGACAGGAAAAGGAAACGGACCCTACAACAGAGAATGCTACCGAGGCTACAACGGCAACTCAAACAGATGGATCAAAAACAGTGACCGACGCATCCACAGCTACCGAAGCTACAGCGACAGATGCTACTGCCTCGATGACTGCTACAACG